TTTTTTAATTTATAATAAATAATATTTTTAAAAATATAATAAATAATAAATTATTAATATATATTAATAATTTATTTATATATATTATTATTTAAAAAAATATAATAAAATAATTAAAAAAATTTTAAAAAAATTTACTGCATATTACTTTGCAATTATCCCATATAAATATAAATAAATAATTTAAAAAATAAAATTTTTAAACTATATTATTAATTTTTAAAATATTTCTATATTTAAAAATAAAATTAAATATATTATAAAATAAAAACTATTAATTAATCTTAAAAAATTATAATAATTTATAAATTTTATAAACTTTTATAAATAATTTATTAAAAAATTTTTAATAATAATTAAATTTATTATAAAAATTAATAAAAGAAATAAAAAAGATTAAAAATAAATACTAAAAATAAACAAAATTTTTAAAAATTTAAAAACTAAATTTATATTAACCCCAATTTTTATTTATTTTAATTTTAAATTATAAATCTTTTTTAAAGTTAATATTTCAGATTTTATTATTAAAATTATTTTCTTTTAAAAAAATAAAAAAAAAAGTTTTAACTTATAACTTTTTATTTTTAAAAATTAATTTTAATAAAAATAAATTATAAAATATATAATAAAAAATTATTTACAATTATTAACTCTTTTAATTAATAAAAATATTATTTTAAAAAAATATAATATTAAATTAAAATATTTTCCAACCATTAAAACTTATTTTACTTTATAATTACCAAAATTTTAAATAAAAAACAAATAAAATAAACGCAATAATTTTTATTATATTAATTTATTATTAATTACCGTTTTAAAAAATAAAATAAAAAGGTTAATATTTTATTTAAATTATTATAATATTAGTTTAAAAAAAAGAAAATTAAATATTAACCAATTATATTAATATTATAAAAAAAACATTTTTTACATTTATTTAATCCTAATATAATACACTTAATAACGGTTATTTTTATATTAAATTATTTAAATAATTTTTTAACTTTAAAATAATTATTTAAATTTATAAAATAAATTAAAAAAATAAAAAAAAATAATTTATTATATATAAAAAAAAAAAATAATTTAAGCAATAATTTTAAACTACAAAATAATTTTTTATATAAAAAAAAATATTTATAAATATTTTAAATATTTTAAAAAAAGGTTATAAAATTAAAATATAATATTTTAATAATAAAATATATAAAAATAAATAAGATTTTAAAATTTATTATATAAAATTTTTAATAATTTAATATTAAAACCATTATATAAAATTTTATAAAAAAATATTTAAAATATTAATGTAATAAAATAAACCAATATGTTTTATATAATTTATTTTAATTTATAAAATTATATTATATATTATAATATATTATTACCATAAATTTTATTATTGATTTATTTTTGTTTAATAATTGTAATTTTATTTAAATTATAATTAATTTATTTATTAAAATAATATATTTTATATTTTTTAAAATAAAAAAAAAATTACAGATTTAATTAAGATTTTTACTAAATTTTATTAAAGATTATATAAAATTTCCTTAAATATTATTTTTAATTAAGATTTTAAATTTATTGCCCATTTATAACAAAACTTTTTTAAATTTATAAATATTAAATTATAAATAAATATAATTTTTTATTTTTAAATTAATAATTAAATAAAATAATTTAATTAAACTTTTAAAATTTACCTTTAAATATTTATTAATTATAAAATAATTAATTAAAAAAATTTATTATTAATAATAAAATTTATATATAATAATTTAAAATTAATATTATTATATATAACATTATTTTATGCAAATTATAATTTTTATTTTGTAATTTATAATTTATTTACTAATATTTTTTAAAATTTAAACAATTAATTATATATATATTAAATAAAATAAATTTATACCAAAATATAATAATATTTAAAAAAAAATTATTAATATATAAAAGATTAAATTAATAAAAAAAAATACCAAAATTTAAAAAAAATTAATTAATTATATTAAATAATAAAAATATTAAAATAAAATAATTTATTAAAAAATTAAATAAAAAAATATTAAACTTTTTTAAAATTTAAAAAATAATCTTTTTTATTGTTATTAAACTTTATTTATTTAAAAAATAAAAAATTTATAATTTATTTTACGCTTTATTTATTAAACCTTATTGTATTAATAATTAAACATTATTTAATTTTAATTAAATCTTATAAAAAATAATTCTAATAAAATTTAAAAAATATTATATAAATAAAATTAAAAACTTTATATAAGTTTAAAAAAATATAAAATATTTAATTAAATAAAAAAATTAGTTAATTAAAAAATATTAAACTTAAAAACCTTTTAATTATTTTAATAATAAAAACGTTAAATAAATAATTTTAATATTTTATTAATAAAACTTAAAAAAATTAATAAACTTTTAAATTTTGCCAAAAAAAATTATACCTTTTATTTAAAACTTTAACTTAAAAATAAACTTAAAAAAAGGAAAAATGATATTATATAAACAATAATGCTAAAAAATTATTGGTTAAAGAAAATAACTAATAAAAAATATAAAATAATTATTTTAAAATTTATTAAATAAAAAATATTATAAAATTATACAATTATATATAAATAAAGCTAATATATTAATAAAAACTTAACTAAATTAAAAAATATATATTTTAAATTATTTATAAATAAATTGAGATTTTTTTTTAAAAAGAAAGGGAGAATTAAAGACCTTAAAACCCTAGAAAATTATTAATAATCCTGATTATATTCTAAGCCCTTTACAGCCCTTGTTACAATCAAGCAATGCCTGAGGGAGGTGCTCTATATATCCTATGCGCCATCATTCCGTAGTATTGTACTCACCTAGGTTTATGATCCGTTGGATATAACCAACATCACACTCATATGCTTTGTCCATATTGGAACTTTCCCGAGGATCGGGGACTTTGTCCGTTTCTTAGGCATAGGTAGCATTGTTATAGACAGATATAAAACTCTAAGAAACAACCTTACTAGGTCGGGTATAAGACATAGTTGAAATAAATATTCTAGTTTAAACCACCTCTCCTCTTTAATGAGAGGAACTCTACAACCTTCTCCGTTAAAGATGTTTTTGTAGAATAGACAGAATTTCGTGCCAGGTTTCCCGATAGAGTTCGCGGCCACGTTCACTATCTAATACCTCTCCCGGCCTAAAATGTATGTTAGGAAAAATAAATATCATAGTTGCGATGACTTACTCGGTATACTTGTCATTTCTCCACAGCTTCCCACTGCTCTCTGGACCCAACCCGGTAGCGCTGACGAGAGTGTGGCTCCCAGCCTCGGCAGTTCGTCCGACGAGAAAGTACAATATGTTCATTATATTCTATAGACTAGAGGAAAGTCGCGCGGCATTTTTGTTTTACACAAGCCGGGACAGCAGGCATTGATGATTATTCCATCAGCTTCTCCACGCTCTTTAAGCTGCTCGATAATCCCTTGTATGGCGAAGAATGCGGCTAGCTTCACTAGATAATACTGAGCTGTAATATCAAATTTAAAAGGGTCATTGATTGAGCTTCTCTAACAAAGTTTGGCCAGTTGGGAGCATTGCAGGCTCAACTACGTGAGAGGCCAAGCTATTGAGAAAGCATAGATGCGGTAGAGCATTGTGATCTGATTCAGTAGTGCTCGCACGCAGCTTCGGGAGAATAAGCAAGACTAGGAGCGTATTTGATAATACGCTAACTTGGGTGCAGATCTCATATCCTTTTGGACCGATATGTCATGGGCAGCCCTCGGTATGTGACCACCTCGGAGTGACAGGTGACTAGCTGGTAGATAGCTCATATAACGTGTATATGTTAGAAAATTATTAACGCCTGCTTTTTTTTTTAATCTAAGAGGAAACTAAGGATTAAGGTTCCTTTATATACAATATAACGGATGGCTAGCTGGTAAATAGCTTTAACCTAAATCTTAAAACCCTTATCACATCATACGCCTATCGTAATCCTTGTTATCTGACACGATAGTATGATGGTTTTTCGATACCAGCACAAAGAAGAGCTAGGTACATCGAGCTTCGATACTCGTTGGTCCAAGCGCCTGGCAAATTCTTTAACAGACGCGAAAGTCGATAAATCAACCGTCATAAGGATAATTTCGCCGGAACATCCTGTTTCTCGTTGGATAGCCGCTTTCGCTGCTTCACCCTTTTCGGTTGATCGGACAGCTAGGATAAAAGGTGATGCGCCTAAAGCTGCATATTTGATCGCTGCTTGATACCTTAACCGGAATTAGCCCCTGTTACCAGCACAGTGTTATCCTGGAATGAGAGCCCATTGGAGGTGGCAAGGGGATTTCTCGCTTCCCACCATTGATCCTTCAGAGTTTGTCATGGTGGTATGTTCAATAACGTGAATTGTTTAGAAAACGGGAAAATTACAATGAACTACAGTACCTTACCGATTGAATTAGGTATTTTATCTGCTACGAGGGAAGCGAAAAACGGAGAATAAAGCGTAGCAAAGGCGTGTCAGATAATTAAAGCTGTCGTCGAGGGAATATACCAGGGGTATAAACACGCTGCGCCTCATACTAACAAACCACATTTAACCCAAAACGATTATTATTAAAGTAAATATGACTTTTACTGGTCACGCCTTGTTGAAAGGACTTACATGGCATTAATTTCGTATCGACGTTGAAATGGGTTGGTTGGTTAAACTCCGAAAAGCAATGTTTATCTACCTAGGCAGCATTGAAACTATTCATAATTGGCCGCCACCGCGTCTCGCGTCTATTAAGCTTAAATCGTGATAGGTCGCGTGCCGGTATCCGGGTGAGATAGGTAAGTATGGCAAACACGCCTTGCTTGGCATAGGATGTGGCGTCTTACTGTCAAATCAAGAAGTTGGATTGAATCGGAACCCTGGCGAGCATCAAGCTAACACCTTGGCAAATCTCTTTCCCACGCCCATCATGATCTAGACACATTATAGGGGAGAGGTTGAAATAATATCTCCTATTTGCCTCCATAGATTCGGGAGCGTCTAAATATTGGGTAAACAATATGGCCTTGGACGATATGGAGAAGGTTCAAGACCCCTCGCCGCGGACCTCACGGTTGGCATTTATACGATCCAAGAAAGGAATTGCGATTTTCACGGCCGTCAGCTGCCTCCTCGTCGGAGTGGTGGTAGTAATTGGTACGTTTTTGAAATTCGTATTATTATTATCATTAATTATGAAACATATATAGTTGAGTTGTGTATACTAACATGAAGTTTATCGGCTTAGCTCTTGCAGCGACGGGCGTGGTTCATGCTGGCAATTCATCTGATGGATCCAAGTCTAATGAACAGTTAGCCCCTGTCTCTTCACCAACATCGACTATCTTGGTGGCCACAAGTACAGCGGCAACAGCAGTCGGTGTGCTTGAGCCAACATCGACTTCAGCTTCCACCACATCATCATCCTCTACGTCTGAGACTACTAAAGCTGCGTCTACTACATCGAAATCGACTTCGTCCTCAGATGTCTCTACATCAGCTACACCAACTAGTGTAAAATCTGCCGCAAGCCCTAGCGATGCTCCTCTGAGAATAATGGCTCTCGGCGCCTCCATTGTTAAGGGAGAGACCTCCCCTGGCTATCTGGGGTTCCGAAAGCCAATGCGTGATCAACTTGTTGACCTGGGTTATGAAGTAAACATGGTGGGTTCCGTGAGACTAGGCGATTTTGTGGATAACGACGTTGAGGCGTATGGGGGCAAGAAGATTAAGGAGATGCACAACTATGCCAAGAAGGCCGTACCCAAGATGCTACCCAACGTGTTCCTCATAAATCTGGGAACCAACAATCTTCTACAGAATAAGGATGTCGACAAAGTGGGACAGCAGATGGAAGACATGATCGACTACTTACTAACAGCGTCCGATAAATCGACAGTCATCCTAAGCACGATGCTCACGAACAAGGTTGGTGACCTCGAGACCGAGGTCCTGGACATGAACAAACAATATCGGGATATTATAAAGAAGTTCGAAGCAGATGGCAAACCCGTCGTTCTAGCTGAGATGCATCCTAGTGAGGGCGCTTCAGGGGTTCCCTCAGTAAACGAGATCGGCCCCGACGGCTCTCACCCTACAGTCCAGGGCTACGAGATGATGGGCAACATTTTTGTCCAGGCGATCCAAGAGGCTAACAAGAAGGGATTGATTCAAAAGCCGGCCAAGAACGGTATTCCCGACGATGGCGAAGCTGGGAGGGATGGATTCTAGCATCCAGGCCACCGCGACATTGCAATCACTTCTATCACCAGGAGACATCATGAATATTACATGATTCTTGAACGAACATAACGTGGTGGATTCCACCTCAATACAACTATGGAGCAATTCTGGAAACGGGCAACGAGACAATCAGAACAAAAGACTGCGAAAATCGGACCTGCACGATGATGTTTTAATTGTCGAGACGTGCATACGAAATTCCATCTCATTGAAGCGGTGACAGCTCCTTTATATACGCGTCATTACACATGAGGCATGGCCTAATAAACGACAACGGGGAGGATGTAAATATAGGCTTTGCTTCACTTACAGGGCACGTTGGGTGGTTAAACCGATTCCATCCATCTAGCCACGGCTAAAGATGCCCTTTGGCCTTTCCAATATCTCCATGAGATGATTTTAATGGGCATGGTAGTCTGCTTTGAAAAATCATTTGGATCCTGACGAGTTCTGCGAGGGCAGGGTGTAGGACATAATATAGGGAGGTAGATCATACATATTATTAGTCTCAACCGAATGAGACGTATCAAGTTAAATATAGCTTGATTCAGAGGAATGCGGGTTGATTGAAGGGGACTTTACATATATAACCAACTTATAACGTTTATATCTTGCTTTAACTGGACAAGAGAACCTAATGCAACTGCCAATTAGAACTAAATATAACTGGCCTAAGGCTTCATAAGCAAACGCTCGTCGAGTCCATGTTCCTCGTGTTTTGCTCTTCAATTACGTATAAGCACTACTTCATATCGCGTGAGTTCATCGGGATCTCTGCCCAAACCAAGAATCCTAGTGGTTGGCCTCCTGAGTTGGCGGACCTTGGCACGACGATGAGGTTGAATCTCCTTCTATTAGCATAGCCACAACGAACACCGGATCTATCACTCGTGGGAATTGGAACCACCGTCGCATTCGCAAGAACTTCAAATTTGTCGGCGATGCTCGTCACCTCGGCCTCGGTCTCGGCCTCGAGGCAACATTCCAGAGCGAAGCCAAGAAATCTAGTAAGGAAGCCATTGATAATTTTAGCAAGACGGCTGAGTCTGGGATGAGAATCTTGGGCATCGATATCCAGCCTTCTAAGTCCAACACGAGTAGCTTTTCTACGTCTAAGAGCGATGTTAAGTTCGACTCTGACAACGGAAAAATCTCCATTTGTCCGGAGAGTGACCTGTACGTCACTGTGTAATGTGTGCCAGTATCTCTACTAATAATCCAAGTCACAGCAACCCTATCGTGCTAGGCATTCTTGGAAGCAAGATCAGGTTGTAAAAGGGTAGACGGATTCTCAGGTCGGCTGAGCCTAGATACGTAATTAAGTCGTGCTCAGTTACTCGATCGCTAGACAGAATAGGTAGGTATCTTAAGTATTTTTTTATAATAACTCCCATACACGAGGAGTTGCCATAGAAGATGATGCTGTATTCAGCATTAGCAGTACGTGCCAAACATGTCGTAAGATTATTTTAACACTTGAACGCCTTGATCATAAATACGTCGTTGCCTAGGTACCTAGGTAGGTAATAATTTGACGGTTACCAGGCAACGAAATCACGCGCATGCTAAGTTTAAAAGATGCATTAAGCACATCTCCTGTCACGAAGCCCCAATCCGAGATTTGCTTTGCCAACATGGCCGTGGTCTAGTGGTTAAGGACATGAAGGGCAAAATCCGAGTTCGAATTTGAGTCAGGGCGGCAAAAAGGCCAATTTGTTCAGGTCAAGTGCCAGGTTCGAACTCACCTTTTTGTCCCTTTTTCTTGTATTTGTATCATTTGCCATTTTTACTTTTTCTCTTCACTTTTATTTCCAAATTTCCCAGTTTTCGCATTAAATAATTCCGACAAAAGATAAAACTCGAACACTTGTGGTTTTCGCAAGCAAAAAAAGGTAATAGGACAAACCAACCTCGGGTACCTAAGGCATATTTCTGGATTGCTTAACGCATTACTCGGATATGTTGCTTCATAATTGAACAAGAGTTTAGTGATCTCGAGCATGCGGGTTTTTTACTTAAGTCTTACCCCTATATCTAAGCCACCACTGATTACCTAGGTACCTAATAATACATTGTTATGGGTGAGATGGATTAGCACGTATGGTGCGTCTAGGCTATGCTTTAAAAACTACTTTATATACCCACGAATGATTTCGAAACACCTAAGCAGCATGCATTATACGCGGAAGTCTAATAATTGGTATAACCGCATAGCCAGGGGTGATATTCATCCAGAGAAGGTTCCACTTGAACGAAACAAATACAGATAATCGAGGATACGAGCAAGTACTAAGAGCACAGCTCTGTTAAATCATAAGAACTATGAACATAGATAAGATTACGCTGATGTGACCAGAAGGTCCTTGCTCTATATGTCTTGAGGAATCACAACTTTATTAGATCATGAAAGTTAATGATTCCTCTCCTTATAATTCCCAGATTTGACTGTTGTCCCCTAGCCGTGGGAGACAAGAGACTTAAGGGCTAGGCTATCTAGATCCCGAGACCGAATTTTACAGGATAATGCCACACAGCCGATACATACTGATAAGGATGTCAAAGACATTATATTAATGAAATTCCTGATAATCTGGTTGATTGTGTTGAAATCATAATCACAAGCTACACACTAGTAATTACCAAACAAACACACAATTCCCAGGTTACCTGACAGTATTGACTAAGCTGACATTACCACAGAGTATGGGATATCCGATTCGATAGGCACGGTTGAAACCGGAACGGCGGCCGGAGTCTTAGATATTGGGTTGCCGTCCAACGATACTGCCATTAGCATTAGCATTAGTGACGAAACTAGGAAATTAACGAATGTAACATACAACATTCAAACTTGACCTCCCGGTCTTCCATTGTCGCTTCAACCTTAAATTTAAACTGTTGGCAACCATTGATTAGGCTAAACCAAGGCTTGGAGCGAGTTTTCAAGCCTGAGTAGTTGCATCTTATGGTTTGAAGTACTTGAACTCCTGTATAAGTATTAGTTAACGGTCAGGTATATTGAAAACCATAGAGGATAGCGCGAACCATTATTAGAAGTATAGAATTCAGGTGGTTTCTCGTCCGACGAGCTTACCACGGAGATATCGCCCACAAGGTCAGAATTCTTCAAATTATTTTCGAATCTGCAACGGAGTTCCCTGGTAAATTTATCTCCAGATTTCGTCTCATCCCCCTGCGAATAATAAGCGTTAGGCATGATCAATCTTATGAAGTGAAGCTCTTACCTTTCGAATCAGCCAGTCTACACGTTTAACCAAACGCCCCCCATCGAGCTGATTTCTCTCAACTCCATTTTGCTTCTTTGCCAATCTATGGGACAATTTCCAGCCCTCATATTCCACCCGTGTCATGATTCCGAAAGAATCTTGGGAACACAGCTTGGTGGACGTAGATGACCCATTGTAAAGACTGCGCACGCGTTCATATACAAGACCTTGACTTACGCAAAGCTGTGGCTTAGATGATAGGTGAAAGGAAGCATTTTGGAGATATGAAGACTGCTTTCTGAATCGGGCTTGAAGCTGCCGCTGGACATATGGGGAAGATCCAAGGCCGCCAAGAGAGAATGATATGATCCTGTTAACCAGTACTGTTAGCAGGTCGTTAACAAACGGACGTTAAGGACTGGGAAGACCAACAACGCGCTTTCCATCCATTACCATCTCATCAATATTATCTTCAATGTCCTTAATTTGCTCGTCAAACATTGACTTCAATTGACCCCTGCAGCCTTGAAGTAAGCAAGATGTACCTAGTATCGCATACTGACAGGCACAAAGGGGCTTACCATCTGACGCGTAACTCTCCATTCGCGATATTAGCTTCCTCAAATGAGACCTTTCCGTCCAATTTAGGTATTTTCACAAAGAAACCGTCCTTGTCGTCACGATGGCCAGTGAACCCATGTTTATAGTTTTGAAACTCTTCACTATTCATCATTCTCCAAGCTAGCTCTACCGGTTCGCCGCCCAGTCGCTCATGGCCAGCCTTCTCCAATTCTTTGAGTGCTAGCTGCTGGAATTGGGTGTCGATGTACGTGGAACCAGAGTTCTCACCTAAAGCCAGGATTAGTAATTGTCCAACCTCATAATAGCAATTTCTTACCAATGTTTGGCTTCAACTCTGCCAATAGAATATCGTTTTTTGTCGATACCTTTACCTTGGCGAGACAAATGTCCTGTTAAATGTGAGTGAAAATGCACAAATCGCGCTTAAAAGTAGTCGGCTCACTATTGTGCCACCCCCAGCATCTACAACGAGTACGTTGTTATCATCCTATGTCTAGTCAGACTCTATCTTATGGAGATGGATGGAGAAATGCTTACTTGAAGGTTGATTTGATCCTCCCTGACCGAGAATATGGCAACTGCTTCAGGCTCACTAAGAGAAGCAGTCAATCTATGTTCTATAAGCCACGGCCGTACCTGTTTACAATCCAACGTCAGTAGGAATCGGTTGGAAGGTAAACATTATCTTCACTAATGCACCAATCACTCGGTGAAGTTTGCTTACCGCTCATGCCCACATCTATCCCAATAATCATGTCAATACCTCGTGGGGCCATGGTGTGAGACTTGAAATACTGTCACAAGGTAGAACCAAACAGCATGGAGACAACTTCGTTGTTCCGTAGGGAACTCTAACCTAACTTTGGGAGCCTGTGGCTACCTAATACATATTAAACACGTCCTTTGTCCCAGATGTCTCATCTAGGATCCTGGCAGGTACCAGATATACATAAGCCACTTTCTGGAGACTTATCCTAGTTCCAGCCATTTTTTTTTATACAACTCAGACTCAACAAGATCTCATCTAGGCCTTCCACCTAGCCGCTTGTATCAGAAATCATCACCTCTGCCAATCGCACCGACAACTCGTAGAATTGCACGATATGTACTCATCAGGCGCTGTAGCAGGTATTGCGATAGGTTGTGCCTTCGCAAGCGCAGCTATCGTTTCCGCTGTGTTCCTGTTAGTACACCGCCGTCGACCAAATCTGAAGCCAACAACTCCGGAGCAAGTGCCGCGTCTTGAATACGTGCATGACCATTTACTGCAGGCAGTCGGCCACAAAGAACTCAGACGAGAATTTTCCGGATTGGAAACACTAATCAAGGCCTTTGCCTTCAACTACTTTCACACTCAACCGGTCGATGCAACAACCGTGGATACCGACAAGATACATGCCATGCTAGGCGCAGCCGATAATCACTCCAGCAGCCAGTGGTCAACTCAATTATGCGACACCACTAATCGAATAACTGCGCTTAGAACATATATTGCGAGGGTCCTCTTGGCTCGAGTCGACCCACGAGGTCCAGCAGAGACGACCCTTCTTCCCGTCGATATTGTTCGTTGTTTTCAAACAGCGCTTCTAAAGAACCGTAAGTTACTGAAAGGCCGCTGTCAGAGGACGAGGACACAATTAACATTTGCACTTAGATCCGCCACTTCTTCTAGAGTCCTGGCGCGTTACGACTGCTACCGTTCTGGCAGGTCAATACCCGCAAAATAAGCTGGCAGAAGGTGACCCACGCGCCGACAATATCAAGAGAACAGTGGCTGACCTGTTGGATGCTCTGCAACCTTTCCGGACTAAAGGAAATGAAGAGAGCTCCATACTTATTTTAGAGGAAATGGGGAAGAGTTTTGCGGTTCTAGGATTCAAACTCTTCTCACACATAAATACCATTGAGGTTGTATGGCCCCCCTCGTCAGCTACCCAAGTGGTTCTCTTCCCTGCTTTGGTGCAGTATAGACCTACTGAAGGATATATCATTGTCACCATCAGAGAAGCATCTTTTTATTGAGTACACAGGTACTTTCGATATTTTCTGAGAATTAGGAGTAGAGTTACCATAATGACTCTAATAATTTACCGCGTGATCATGTCGAGTTGTGGTGATCGTCAAAAGAGAGTACTTCACCATAACTATCTAGGAAGCTGTCATAATTCCTGAAGTGGCTATATTACTGAGGGACTGTGAAAGGGGTAGTGTTACCCATCATTGTGGCTTCCTACCGATGAGTCCGTGGTATCTACCATTGTGAAAGGATTCCTGCCACCCATCGGTTGTCTAATAGGTATCATCGGCTAGATCAAGCGCCTGGCATAATGGGTCCAAACTAATATCCAATAATAATAGAGGCAAGACCAGCACTTTGATGACATCTTTCCAATTGGGAAGTTCAAACTTACCTTTTCTTTGTTTCGTCCATCTTAACACGGGAGCTTGTGGACGAGGCTAGCAGCTATTTGCCTTATTAGAGGCGCAATCACGAGAGAAGTTCCGTCATGGCTTTGTTTCTTTAACACGACCTAGTTGCGGATCTCCTTCTCATTTCAAAGGAATCCATGACGCCAATCTAAGTTCGGAACTTAGAAACACACTGCCAGAACAAGCTACAAGGCTTCAAGCACTGACTACCTGTCTTAATGCCTACCGCTCACCTGCTGAAAATATTCCCGTAGCCACCTGAAGGATTCTATGAGCAGCCGCCTAATGGGTCACGGCCTGTAGCCAACGATCCCAATATTATAATGTATCATATATCTAGGTAGTTTCTTCACCGAAAGCCTCTGTGGAGCCCTGGTTCTTGGGCATTTCACAGCCGCGCTCGTCAAAGGACGCGTAGGTTATCACCTATTCTGCATCCTTCAGATAAAAAACAAATAATTTCAAGGGAAAACAATACATACCTATGCAGCATACAAGCTATCACAATGTCAACATTACGGTCAAAAAGATAACTTCGTTGTTGCATAAGTTATCTAACTATATACATAGCGGATGAGAACATTTCTCTCTCAAGCCAAATCCTTCGCTACTTACTGCTTAGCAAGCATGGATCTTGCTACGATTCCATTTACTATACTAAGCGATCTGAAAACAGTATGGGATTTCTGTAAGATCGCACGAGAGCTCACTGATGTCCCAGAAACCTCCAAGGTGTTCGTGAGGATACTTGAGCAGGTCAGCCGCGATAACGAATATGCCCGCGATTTTTTCAACAAAATCCAACCACACAGAAAGGATGATCGCACCCAGTTCCAATGGATCGTGGAAGTAATCACTACAAATAGCCATAAAATCAGTAACGTCATGAACTTCATAAGCCGACTGGACCTATCAAATTTGCCAAACCTCAAACACCGGATCGATTTTGTCTTGAAAAAAGAGAAAACTCTCAACGACCAGGAGAAAGTATTGCGCTTTTCGCACAATCGTTTATTAGCCGTCGTCGGCACAATGCACTTATTGGCTTTTCAGCTTGGCTCTTCAAGCAAGTCGTCTCTGTCCTCGCCTGCAGCAAAGCCTTTGCGAAGCAGAGCATCTCCAGCACCACCACAGCGCCACCCGCGTACAAAAGATACCGATTGCATTCTAGGTCGACTAGGTGTTGTCGATGAAAAGGTGGTTGAACATGTTACTATCACCACCATTGAGGGGCCCGGGTTTTGATTTGGCTACTGGGCACGGCTAGGTAGTTTTATCTTAGTCCACATCTTGACACTATTTATCTCTACTTCCAAGGATTTCCTATGGTACGTTCTCCCGGCATTTATCATAATGATAGTTGTATGTACGCAAGGGCGTGGCTTACGGGTAGTGTAGTTGTTGGATGTGGCTTAAGAAGTTCGTCTGTACTAGGAACAATTAGATACGCGGCTTGGACCACACAAGATAGCCGAGTCCGGATGCACACAATATGTAGCAAAAATAGATTTAGCTCGTTTGGGTTTTATCAAATCAACTTCTTATAAATAGCATTCTGCGATTCGTCTTTATGTAAGGAGATGATCATGAGGCTCTCGATGGGACGTACCTAGGTACGGATCCGTACTCTTATTCTATTTTTAGACACCATGCATATGTACATACTAAAAATTGCACTACCGTGGCGGGAGAACCATGATTACCTATTATTGAAAGGGGCCACGATACATGGTACATAGGCGCCACCCATTGATGTTCTTTCTTTGGCTGTGTTAAACTTTTAGTTAATGTTCTTCCATGCAGCTCTTTTCTATGCAAGTGCCACGATGCGCTGCCAGCGTGTTTATCCCTTCCTTCATCTTTATACACTAGTGTAAGCAAGGCTATCTGCCCTTGTCCAAACTTCCAACGCGATGGATTCTTACTTATCCCGGCTAGCCTACAGCATGCGCAGCTCCAGCATCTCCCTACTTTAGAGACAGCAAGGGGAGAATATGGCCTGACAACTCTCTAAGAGCAGGAGCAGGCTTTCAGTATTCTATCGACTCCTATTTGTTGTCTTTGTTAAATGTTGGAATTCATTTCTGAGCAATCAATAATCATAAATACCTAAATTGCGCCACGGATGCTATGTTGGTATCCGAATAAGTCCAAGCTTTTTAGTCATAACAGGTAGTTAGACTAATAACTGCAATGGAGTTAAATAGGTATATAAGATCGTCAACATTATCGTGTTTTTGGAGTAGCGGATAAGCACCGTAACCGTGTCCGTCTCTGCCACACCCACCACAGGATCCCGTTCCTCTGCCGGGTTCTATCCGCAGTTGATCCTCTACAGTGAGTGGATAAAAAGCGAAAGAAAACGGGGCTTTAACCATCTTGCTGTTGCTGTGGTTATTCAGCACTGTGCGGCTTTGTGCTGAAATGTTTGCTGTCGCCTTTTCCATATCATTGAATTGACCGGTTCCGTCAAGGTTGTTCACCTTAACAGTAAAAGAGCAACTTCAGCTATGATACCTAAATGCAGATCACCGGTCATGGAGAAAAGTGCACAGGAACCGGATGCCCACTTGGCTGATGAGGTGCCCATTTTTCTACCATCAATATTCTCACCCTGGCGTAATCAGAAGGAATTTTTTATTGCTGGCAATGAACCAGCATTTGCTCATTCAGCCGCTCAGCCACCAGTACTGCCTCCCCAGACGTCCAGAGAAACAACAACAAAATCACAAGATATCTCCGAAGAAGATATATCGAATTATCCGTTACACCAACCAACTTCCCCTTTCAACCCCCTGGTAACAGGGAAAACTGACACGGCCGACGACAAACGCGCATCTCGGCTATTCAAACACGGCATGCAGCCCAGAACGGAAGTTGGTATCGCAGCTGGTAATTCTGCTACAGCTAATCTTGAGAAACCTGGACCCCTGCGCCGCACAAGATTCAAAGAAATGCTGGATCGTTCTCTTCCGACAACGCTTTTCAAAAGCAATTCTTTCTCTCGTATTAGTGGCAATTACGACGAGATTAGAGAAGATCACCAAGCCGCACCGCCACATCGCGAGATGGAGAATCGCGATACGGAGAATTATCCCATGGGCTCGGTCAACAACGCACGCGAAATCCCGGAAGAGAGCTGTGCGAGCTCGGATGATAGCAGCGACATCGAAATTGACGATCTCGCTGCGCGATACGGTATATTTGGAGTTCATTCTTGTGCTTTGCCTACGGTATTTGATACTAACCGATTTTCTAGAGCGACCACCCCTCGACTGCTACTCAAGGCGGGATGTATACATCAAGCATTGGAGCTGGGAATACGTCGTTCTAGCTTTATTGTCCTTGTACTCTACACTTCTAAGCGGTTTGTGGTTTATAACTTCTATCTACCAACCGCGATATGGAAGAGGGATATCATCTAGCGAGGGGTGGAAGATGGCACCTTCGACAGCCACCCTTGTTTGCACCTTAGTCGCTAAGACCATTGAAATATCCTTTGTCACGGTCTACGTCGCTCTTCTCGGCCAAGTCCTAACTCGAAGAGCTTTTATCAAAAAGGCGAAGGGCGTTACTCTTGCCGAGATGACGATGCGGAATTGGGTCATCGTAAGTAAACAACTATGTACACTCCTCTTTTTGACTGTTAACATTAATGAGTTTAGCAACCGGGATCTTTACTTACTTATTGGGAAGGAGTTCCTTACGCGGCGATGACCCTCTTAGGTGGTGTGAGTCTTCTTGCGACTCTTTGCTCCCTGTTTTACACTACGGCGTCGGACGCCCTGGTAAGTCCTAAGCTTATGTTTGGTCGGTGGGAGAATCGCGAGCTGGAAGGGCTGGTGAAAGCTTCCTATGCGAACCCTTTCTACGTACAGAAAGCTTGCTCGACCCCCATCGACCTGACCATGGACCCGAACAATTCGGCGCCCTCTTGTCTCGATGTCCAATACTCGGGACAGTCCTATCATAATCTACTTACCTTCATGCATGTTACCCTCCCTCAATACTACCAACCTCTAGCTAACAGCCCATCCAGGACAGAATGGCAAGCTATCCACGATAATAAGACTTCAACGATGGACAACCTCGCCTCGAGGCCTGTGGGAAGGCATAGTCTATTCGACAACACAACAATGGTATCATCTTGGATCGAGACCGATTTCGGAAACCCGGAGCTTAATTTAAAATCCCACAACAGGATCATCAATAATGTCACGCTCGCGATGCCACATGCGGGCGTCTACTTGGCTGCGACAGACCCGCGCAACGACATATTGCAACCCGACGATCTAGCTGGTGTCGGCGAATACTCAATCCGTGCCAGCGTTGCTTCACCTGTGGTCAATGTCATGTGTGTCAATGTGGCCCACGACGAGTTAGCACCTCTCATATACACCACTTGGCCTGGCGCCCGAACGGAGGGCACCGAGATACCTGGGCAGAAAACCGGCGTGGAAGATTGGTTCAATGATGTCCCGCCCCCGGTTGACGACGAATGGCTCAACAGGACCGTAGTTGATGATATTTTTCGATGGGGTCCTAAGTACCACCGTCGACCCCCTGTCTTTCAACTGGTCAGAACCCATTTCCCCCTGCTTTGAGAGCTCTTAGCTTGTATAATAGATCCTCAGACTAACGTCTCTAATAGTTCCCGATCGACTATAACATGATCACCAATACTTCAGTCGCCAACTCGGAGTCTTTATACGTATTAGCCAAGTCGAACGCTGTTGCTGAATACACGCTCTGTGAGATGCGGTCGTGGGTAACACCAAAGTGCTCGACTCGATTCGACGTCTCGGGCATATCCGGCGGCTTCATGCGGGCACATTGCGAGGATCCTAAGGACACCGACTCGTACTCCGCCTCATCGGGCAACGACGACGTTAAAAATCCCCCTGAACCCTCTATCGACTGGAGGAACCTAGCTGAGCAATGGCGCCTTTCCATGGATCTTAACGGTGGCGTGCAGAACAATAATGCGAGCAACGCGCGCATCATGACGAACCTCATATTACGCGAACCGGCGCTTGACCCCTTCCTACCCTCCATGGCTGAAGCCCTAGCAGTGCTTTCCTCATCGACTCTTGTCGCCGGGACTCTCGGGTCGACTTACCGTATGAGCTGGGATTATCCAAAGGTCGAGATGTACCCGGGTGTCTACGAGACATTCAAGGCGTCTATGCGCACCCAACAGTATACATCCTCGCACGTACAAGCATGGCAAGGAATATTCTACGCTGTGTTGGGCGCAGTTTTCGCAATTAACGTAGCATGTCTGCTTTATCTCGCCTTCTTCCGCCAAGGGCTCGTGAGCGACTACACCGAGCCCCAGAACCTATTCACCGTCGCCGTCAACTCGCCTCCCAGCGTCGCGCTATCGGGGAGCTGCGGCCACGGCCCGGACACGGCGGGACTGGTGGTACCCTGGCGCGTGAATTACTCGGCTGCCGCCAACCACTATTTCTTCGAGGAGGTGGGCGGTAACACTAAGGGTCGCGCCGGCACCCGCATGAGCACGGCGAGCGGTTCCGATCTGTTGCCGGAGAATGATAGCCGGCTCAGGGGTAATAATTACAATAATTACAAACGGCTAAGGGAAAGCAGGTCGTGGTTTTAGAAACGGGCGTCCTGCTGCTACGAGGGATAAGGCAATTAATTGGACTAAAATAATCATCTGCATAGCGCTGCATTTCGCACCTTTTATATATCTACACTAGCATAGCGGTGGCGTTCAAGGGATTAGGGGTCGAGATACCATTCGGGAGGGGGAAAACCTCCTGATCTGTTACATTTACAATAGGTTAGGTACTTTTTGCTACGTACGCCCTCACATAGCATCACATCGAGATGAGTCACGAGTCCCAGGACAGTACACAATTCAGGAAATAGATAAATGCGTAATTTATTTATAGTAGATTTTCTCGTTATCTAGGATGTTGAGATCCTATGCATATGTATCTGGCAGCGTTGAGCTATATCCATAAAAGAGATTTTCCCAAAAAAGCGGTTACGTCGTGGCACAAGCGACTGGACAAAGCCATAACCGAAGAATAAAAGCGAGTGGCGGGACGAATCCCTTTATTCCAAAAATCCAAGAATCACGCTTACGCCGAGTATAGCTGCTGCTTAAAACAGCTTATGCTCAAGCGTCATATCGGACTCGGGCTCCAAGCCGACGCAAGCGCGGAAGATATTCGTCAAGGCGCCGCGCTGCTTGGCGAGCGCGTTGACGACGGGGGTCCCGGGCGGCGTCAGGGGCGCCTTGAGCATGTAGCTCAGGATGCTGAGGACGCTGTGGAAGCCCTTGAACTCGGACGCGGGCTGCGAGGATAGCTTCCAGCTGATGCGCGTCATCATCTCGGCTACGATGACTAGGTCGATGATTAAGGGGGAGGCGAGGAGGGAGTCTTCGCAGACGTTGAAGATGCTGGGGTGGGGGGTTAGGGTTAGCTGGGGAGTTAGAGAACAGGGTGGGAAGGGGGAGGGGGGGAAAGGAAAGGAAAAGACTTACGAAATAGTCTGGTGGCCGCCCAAGAAAATCTCGGCGTAGTACTCGTCCAGCGCACGCTTGTTGTCGCCGACAGCAGGCATGTACTTAATCACGACAGTGTGATCAGGGTGTTCGCCCTTCTTATACAGGACCGAGTTCGCCTCGACCATATCGTCGACGACATTGCTCTTGGAAATCTCCTTGGACCGGAACTGGCGCTGGGAGCTCAAGTTCTTGCCGTCGTTGTTGCCGAGGTGGTTGTAGCTCGCGATGGAGGTCAGCTTGATGCCCGCGTTGATGAGGAAGTCGACGAGGGCGGATTTCATCTTGGTCTGGCCGGATTTGAAGTCGTCGCCGCCGATGAAGGCGCCGTGGCGGGAGGCGAGGTCGATGGCGCCGGGGACGAATGTGTTCTGCGGAGACCCGTTGATGAAGGGCGTCGATTCGAGGATGCAGGCTACGGCGAAGATGGTCGAGGGGGAGATCTCTTCGTGCCCTTGCTCGATGGCTTGGAGGAGGTTGTCTGCCGTGTCGTTGATGCCGGGGATGATGTCGGCGTAGCGCTCCGTGTTCGCGGTCCATTGCACGATGACCTTGTCTAGGCCGTTTTGCTGCTTAAAGTCGCTATTTTTTTCATTTTTTTTTTCAGATTAATAAAAGCGTCATATCATATATATATAGGCGTGCAAGTCGGAACTTACCGGATATCCTTGCGGATCTTCTCGACGTGAGCCGTAGAGGCCTTGCTCCCGGGAATGAGATTGTCGGCTCGGTCCTCCTGGTTGGCGGCGATGAAGTCGGGGTAGTAAATACTGGGGAGAGGAACCATCTGGGCCAACTCCTTCTTGACCTGCGTCTTCAAAGTAGGTTCGAGCACGGCAGCACGGTCCATAGCGTCGGCGAGGTTCAAGCTGCTGATATCCCACCCGCCGATGACGAGATCGTTGGGATGGACCATGGGAAGGACGTCGTGGAATGGGATGTTGACTTCCTGCTTGGTGATGGGATCCGTACCGAGCTTCATGGTAGAGCCCATGATGACGGACCCGTAGTAGTTGGCTGCACGAGATCCCTCGCGAGTCTCCCAGACTAGGCCCCGGCGATTGGCGATGATACCGGCGGTCACGGTGGTGCCGTTGTTTCCACCCCAACCGACAAGCATCATACCAACCTTAGGCACCTTGCGGTCGACTTTGAAGTCGTAGACCATCTCCTTAGGCGTAGCTACATATTTGCCGGCAGCATCCTGGGTGACGCTGGTGGTCCGGTAGGTATACTTGGACAGGATCTCATTGTCGGTGTAGGTAACGTTGGGAGAGCTGACCGTGAAGAGATTGCTGGATGGCGATGAAGCCGAGTTGTCGGTACCGTTCGAGTTTCCGTTCCCGTACGCGGCCCCCGCGTCTGCTTCGGCGTGCGGTGCCATGGTGCTTTTCTGTTACTGGCGGTATGCCTTGATAGATTTAGAATTGAGGTATCTGGGCAACCCTTTACTGAATAAAGGGCGAGTCCGCTGCGCCTCCGGGCGAAGAGCAGCGGGCTCCGGCGTACGGGTGGTGAACGCTACATGGCAAGTCAGAAAACAAGACTCTAACTTTTAAGTATTCACAGTTGGACTAGAAGTCGGTGAAGGGAGCTTACGAGTTAAGGAGATTGGAAAACGTCTTGACGGTGTGTGGTGATCGCTGCTCGGAAGCGCGATCGTCAAGAGGTTTGAGTAGGAAGAGAAGGTTAGATACGACTACGTCGTTGAACCGTCTCAAAGTATCAAATTTGGTATTGTTAACTTGAAGAGCAAGAGATCAAGAGATAGAGTTTTAAAGTCTAGAGGGGTAGTATTCCAACTTATGTACGAAGTATGTAAAAGCAACGGATATGTCGGGAGTCTAGACAAGCCACTACTGCGGCTACGTAATAGACTAAGAAGGACAACACATGCAGGAAAGTCTAGAAAAGTGGCACGATATCCAGCACGAAGAACAGCTAATAAGTCTGCCGATAGATTTGACAGTTCACGATTTCGGTCGTTGCAGTTGTTGGACAGCACTTGTGGGTTTGGATGTCGTGTGCTCCCCGCCCGCCTAGCCCACCATAAGGGATCCGAGGAACCCTTACGGGCTTGTCAGCGGGGTAGTTAGGGGTATGATTGGTCAATGGGAGACATCTTGCTGTCAATACTGAGCCGAGTTTAGGGCTAAGTTCTAACAAAGAGCTTTTCTAGATTACAAGATGCAAACATTTAGCGATGTCGGGTCGCTTATGGTATCTTATACCCCTTTTTGGCTTCCCGCGCTTTGGCTATGCATATTTCCGCGGGCGTTCCTTGCATTATCGTTTTCTTTGGGTGTGGCCTTACGACGTACAGCTAGAAGATAATGCATGCATGCCACTTCATAAGGTATAACACCATATGACGACTCATTTTTATATATTCGACCCAAACTGCGGTATGATCACACGTCATACATGACATAGCATAAAATTCATAAGTTGTCCTTTAACGATTTATTTACTACCTTCTAAAATAGCGCTGCTCGAAAAAAGAAATGATTAATCGATCTTAATCTTACATCACGGTGATGGAATTCGTATACCGAATCATTACACGCATATAGTACCACACGTGAGTAAATCTAGATCTAATACAAACATATGAAGGCACACACAGGCAAGTTGAATCATGTGAAGCAGAATGTGCGGCCAATTTTACTATGGAAAGGGGGGGGATGTGCTAAATGTTCCTATTGGATAACGCTTATGAGTGAAGAGCACGGACTCGAAGATCTATCACAAGGGAGCTAGAGCTAAGAGAGAACGGTATTTCGCTACATATTCCTAAACCATTATTGAACTGCGAGTTTCTAGTTTCTCCTTAAGACAACTGACTTATGCTTGGTTTCTATATATGGGTAGCGCATAGCTTCGGATAACTGGTATCGTGTTAATGAAAAAAAGCGAGCCGAATCAAATAAGGCAGGCCACATTCCACAAATCACTACGTTACATACATACATAACTGAAGGCCCCCACTCTGGGATGCTGCTAACTACTGTATTAAGCCTCATTTCCGGGTTTACAGTAAGGGTTTGATTCGGATATGAGTACAGCTCAGGAGTTTGTGCATACTTACCTATCGATAGATAATTCTTGATATGGGAGGTTGATAATATTTTATGTACCTTAGGTAGGTATGCCGCGATATTCTGTAGCGTTCTCCTTTTTCACCACCAATTTTCGTCGTTTGCGGTAAGAAGTAGGCTATGAGATTTCATTGGACCCAAACTCTTGGATGAATACTCCGTATCGGCCCAGGGGCTGAAAGAAGTCTCAAGAGACGCCGGCCTAAGACGGCCAAGGCAAGGCTCGAGTATGACAACTCGATTAACTACATAGAATTTCATTCATGTCTGACGTCGGGAGTATTCTAGAGTCTCATTAGTCGCCGGAGATTTCTACGCCTGTAGGTTTAGTTTCTATGGCCTTGGGATCGAAGACATCCAAGATCTATTTTCCTATTCGTCCATCAGACTATGATCATTAATCTTGTCTGTCGCGATTTGACATCAAGTGACCTTATGTTAAGGCAGATCATGTTATGACCTAAACTAGGCGGGCCAGGGGTCTTCGGTAGCAATGAGTGGCATAGGGCCGAGCGGACGAACTGCATTAACATGAACGAGTACGGTTGCCGAGCCGTTGAACGCTTCACGTTTCAACGAGACTAATATGTATGTAAAGCATCCAAGCTTTGCGCCAGCACCATGCGAAATCCGGAGGATACATATTCTCCCTTGCTTCGGGTTAGACGTTGGTTAGCTAAGATGTTAAGATGGTCGATGATTTCGATTTCGCAGAGAGATAGATACAGATCAGCCGCGCTAGAAGGATAAGATCATAAAAGGGTTGCGATGTTAGTTCAAATTGCTGGGGGACCCATGAAGTTCGCCATCAGACCAGTTTACTTACTATGTACCCTGATCAGCGATACTAGTAGCTACCCAAGTGGTCAATGTGCATGTCAAGCTTGTTAGCTCAGGAAAATAGTTAGATGCAGAAATGACGTTCAATTTGCTACTAGACCTATCACGATAATCAGCATAAAGACCATAATTGGTAAACAAGATGGGGAGGAATAGGTCTAGCAAGGTTAGTATCCCATGACAACCCAAACCACGGATTACAGAATACCCTTTTCCGTACGGAATAGTCCAATCTGGATTATCTGGGGCTGATTGGCTAATTATGGCATTGCCGTCTATGGTCACATCGGCTTTATTCATATTAATAAGGAAAAGGTGTGGACGAATCTGGTTAAATCGAAAGGGACAAGCTGGTCGATATCAAACTCAACTGACAAATGAGGTTCGATGCCTGAATATCTTCCCAAGACTCCAAGACTCCAAGACCGGACCGTAAGGAAGAAAGGGTGAACCAAGAGAGGAATTTAGGGTCGGTGTTTTTGAAATAGCCATAGTACATACATTAGGTTAGGCACTATTAACCTGCACTTGCCTATAATACGCGCATGTCAATGTATGCGATGCATAACTCCCATGTCCCCCCCGTCTGTCCCCCGTCTGTCCCTTCCAAGTTCCCAGACTTACTGAACTCCCCACAGATGTAAACCTTAGATACTCCGTATTTGGTCCATATTTCTAGCAACAGTCAAGTGGAGACAGGGGTATCGGATTGTCGAATCACCGATAATATTTGAGATGCAAGGTACCCGTTCAGGCCGAGCCAGCCCTGTATGTCATAGTGACGCTATACCAGATCAGTTTAGCGACTGCTAGTGCCTAAAGAAGGTCGATCGTACAGATTTATTAGCGTTACATGGCTTTTTCCATTGGTCTTCAAAGCCGGTTTCTCGTGAACACGCCTAGCGGAGCATTGTGGCGCTTCTTCATTAAATATTTCACCTTCGTATTTTTCTTAGCGCACGAGGCGGCTGCAATGCTAAAGCAATTGTCGTACAGCACGGACTATTCAAGTACCGCATGGCTGACCTCATGAGGTACTATGTATGGAAGCATCTGTGGAAGCCGAGGAAGTCATGATTAAATAGAAAAAGGGCGGCGTTGCCGCAATCCTAAAGTATTGCTGAGGTGGAAACGTGGTCCTGAATGATGGCATACCTACTAGTATTAGAAGTAATTCACTGAGAAAGGCGGCGCAGAACCCGGCATTCACACGTAAAACAGAATCCTACCGATTCATATTGATGAACAAGTGGCCGTCAGATAAACAATCACCGACTACTTCACCGTCAGCTAATTTATGTATTGGTGGTAAAGATAACCACGCAGCAAAGCTGTAAAAAGTAGGCTGCCATTTTTGGTCAAACATCTGAAAATCACCAATGTTTGAACTTGAGTTCCTGAATCCTCCTCATTATGCGCCCACATACCTACCCTATATAATACAGACGATGCCCTGCTACCATGGTTCGTTTAAATTCTTTCTTCTGCTTCTGCTTCTGCTTCTGCTTCTGCTTCTGCTTCTGCTTCTGCTTCTGCTTCTGCTTCTGCTTCTGCTTCTGCTTCTGCTTCTGCTTCTGCACTCCTTCGTTAACCGATCTTACATATTTATGCCCTAACCCAGAAGCTAGATATTAGAATCGATTCGAGAATTATTAAGGTATCCTCCAACTAATACGACGAGGACCAGTGCCGGGTACCTCTTTAAGTTATTACTGCCAAGAAGAGACAAGGACAGGGGTTTGACTTTAGTGGTCTGCTTGTGCATAGGTACTAGGTACCCTTGTAACTCAATCAGGGGTTTTAAAGAGCAGGGGTTTGTTTAAACATCCTCCACCCTTTCGAGACAAAGGTTGCAACGTCCAAGACGCCTTCTCACCGACCTTTACAGCACCCAAAGGTCTCTTGAAACCTCTTCAGATCTTGTTTCTTCCCGACCAATTGTTCGCTTGCACGACCAAAATTCCTCGAAGGGAGGCCCATACAAGCGTCCACTCTTACGCGACGACACTGCATACGACCTATCGCAAAGCATACCTTCATGGTCTAGTTGTTTCCAAATACCGGCCGCACCACCAAAACTATTACACCTATCCGGAGCTGTGGCACTCGCTGTTCGGGGCTGTGGAGTAAAGAGTTTCGGATTTCTGCACAACATCTACCATAGTAGCATAGCAGGCAGATCCATCTTCTACTTCTTTTCTGCATTGGTGCTGGTAGAATTGTTTAAGTGGTTACCAATCAACTATCGTCAACTTTACCTTCACGAACGTAAACCTCCAGTCAAGGCGAATCGGGTGAAAAGTCCTGATGCACGAAATCGACATATCCAATCCCAAGTGAGGAAAGGCGAGGGAAACACGAAATAAAGGGATTGTTACGCGTTTAAGCCGTGATGGATGCATCACGGCAGTCGGCTTTCATGCCGACGATAAAATGTTCCAATTGCGGGAACCAAGTTGAGATTTCGATGATGGGAGAGCATGTCTGCGGTAGCACACCTGCAGCAGCAGCAGAACGTGCGTAATTCTAAATATACCTTTCCAAATGTAGTAGATGGCTAACATTTAAAGCAGCACCTCCACCAATGCCAGATCTTCTAGGTGGCGCGTTTTCGTCCCTAAAAACAAATGTTTTTGACAAATTTGCTCGCACCGCACCCCCTTCTGTTGATACATCTGCAGCGAGTAAGCGCACCATTAACCAGCTAAAATCAATTCATCAGCTAATATGATAACAGATCGCGCGTTCCAGAAGACGGATCAACTGACGCCAGTAAGCGCTTCTACTGGATCACAGGCTATCTCACCAAAAACACCAACGCATGAACGGCCTGGGGCCAGTTCTAGCAAAGATGACTACTTCGCACCATCAATAGCAGGTTCGCCCAGGCGGCCAAGTGGATATGGAGGCTTCGGAGACTCAGGATCGTATGAAGGCGATTCTACTTACGGCACAAGCCCGAATAAGCCGACAAATTTCTTAACAAGAATGAACACCATTGCGCCTGGACCGTTCGAGACGAACCGAGGACCCGGATTGAAAAATCCGTTCGCGCGGAACAGCAGCCGGGACAACACGGCAGAATCAAATGACGATTCATTGCGAGTTAGGTATTCCACAGAGCGGCCAGGCACTTCGGGCTCGACCTCGTCTAAGAACAGCGCTGCCCTTGCACCCCCCAGAGCACCACGAAGTAACGGGTATGGTGGGTTCGGCGCGCCGCTAAGGGGTAGTAGTGACTTCGAGCCGCAACCAATTGGCCTAGGCAAACGCTCTGATACGTTTCCGGAGAAGCTCCTCAAAGGAAACGATGAGGTTTTTGACGTACCAGCACGTGTGCCTTCGGCACCCGGTATGAAGTCCGATCGAATGCGGAGTTCATCAAATAGTGTTGTGGATAGAATGGCTATGGCTAGTGAACGGTCGCAAAGACCGTCCTTAGGAGCGCAGGATGCGTTACGTCCGCCGCCTTTACAAGGAACAACCTCGCGCCCATCAACGCGAGATGGCGACAGAAAACCCTCTATCAACCTAGGCGACGAATTTAATACTAACAATCGTAACCACTTATCTTCAATATCGCAATCTTCTAGCAACTCTAGCTATACTCACTCATCTCGTCCTAGTCAAGCTAGTTCGAACACAAGCCCGGCTCAGTCAGTAAGGTCCCGTCCAGACGCACGGCGGCCGTCCGATATGTCAGGTTTCGATGCCCTATTAGACGACTTGCAAACTTCAATGGATGCAATGCAAACTAAACCACAATCCCCCTCACCTAGCGACCGATCACTGTCCGAGAGAGGTCCCGAGCCGCTAAGACCTAACAGCCAGCGTACACCTTCGGAAAGTGTTGGGCTAGATCGTGCGAGCTTTAGGGGACAGGATCCGAGAGTAGATATGCCTGCGATACCACCGCTTTCGTCCCAATCTTTGGATCGTAGAGATCCCGCTATTCAGAAGGGTTTAAACGACTCGCCGCCGACTCGGCCAACCCACAACCGTCAAGCGTCTAAAAGCCAAGGCTCGCGTGGTAACTGCAAAGCGTGCAAGCAACTCATCACGGGCAAGTCAATCTCATCAGCGGATGGGCGGTTGACTGGACGTTATCACAAGGCATGCTTCGTATGTACGACATGCCAAGAACCCTTCTCCTCTTCGACATTCTATGTCTTAAACGACCAGCCGTACTGTGAGCAACATTATCACAAACTTAACGGCAGTCTCTGCGGGAGCTGTAATATAGGTATTGAGGGGCAATACCTCGAGGATGAATCCTCCAAGAAGCACCATCCGAATTGTTTCCGATGCGGTGACTGCGGTATCGTCTTACGTGATGGTTATTTCGACGTAGACGGCAAATCGTACTGCGAGCGCGACGCCTGGAGACGAATGCAGTGGGCCATGCAGGCCCAAAGGCAACAACAACAGCAACCACCACCGAGGCCCGGATACCCTCCGCGTCGGCCAAGCGCGCAAGGGCCTCCGCCGCCGAGACCACCTCGCTCCGGCCCCGGCTTCATGGGACCGAGCCCTATGGGTCCAAGTCCCATGGGTCCGGGTCCTAAGGGACTCAACCGGCCATTCGGCTTGCCCAGCGGAAACCGTCTAGCTCCTGGCCAGGCTCTAGGCCGTGGCGGTCTAGCCAGCCCGATGCCGAGGATGGAGAAGAGAATGACGAGAATGGGCATGATATAAAAGCATCTATGCCCCTGATTTATATATATATATATATCTATATAATTTCCCCTTGTTCTGTAACGACGACACGCCTCTCTTTTGTTTCGACCGACTTTCACATCGCCGCTTCGCCATGTTGCTGGCTGTGCGATTATTATCATCATATATCAGCATCGGCGTTTGGGGTTCCCCTTTCTGGGAAAGCATTCGATTTTTTATAGGTCGCATATACCCTTTCGATCTTGCTTTCGCAATTGCTAGTTGCTTACCTTATGGATCCCTTGACGAGATATCCGCCCTTTTCTTTCTCGTTACGGCTTTATAATCAAATGATGTGCATCCATATCATTATCATCTTAATTTGGTACTTTGGAGATTTATTTCCTTCGGGCCATGGCTACCTGCATTGGGGGTTGGCGGGCCCGATGCACATTGCCGCTTACGTCTCCCTTGGGTATATGGGAGAGGTGTTGAAGTGGGATGGAGGATAGGATAGGATAGGATTGGTTAGAGGAGGGTGCTAAAGAAAGGCTCCGTAGGATGGATACGATAGGGTGCCTTGGACGATGTGGTGTGGGAACCAGCGTTGACTGACCGCGACTGGTGGGGATATGGGGAGAATGGGTAAGGGGAGGAAGAGGTATAACTGTGGAGTGATGTGATGGGCGATCTAGCACGAGCGACAAGCTGTAGATCACCAGTAGTATACTGCTTTGGCTATACCGTTTGCGCATAGCTATAGTAGTTGGTCTGCTCTGATAAGAGTAGACGGAGAGATAGTAATATCAAACGACAAATTCATACAACCACGTCCCTTGCCTACGTGTAACTATGGAAGTAGGTAGGTAGATTTGGTATGGTACACGATCGCGGTGATGCTATCTAGATACGATTTATTTCCTGTCTCGCTTACTTACCTCCCTTGTGCTCCCGAATCCGAAATTGGTGGCACTTGTTGAAACGGTCGTGCCAATGGGAATGGTTAACGAACTCCAGCTCGTCACTATTACACGGTGGTATATATCACAGCAGCAGCAGTACCCTATCCTAGTATGTAGGTGTATGTGTACCTATGTGTATGTGATTTACCCAGGGCAGCCTATAGGCTGGCTGGCCGCATCCGACGGCAGAATCGTGGGTGCCCGGGTACAGCCGCAGGGTCGCACGGGAATTTGCGTTTTATCTACCTGTTTATTCTGTAGACGGCTTGGGACTGCGGAGAGGAGGTTAGGTGAGGCGAGGTAATTAATATATAGGGCCCTGTCACCGGCCGTTATTGGGTTCGTTTATTTATTTATTTATTCGTATGGGGGAAGATGGCTGGGGTAGTCTAGATGGAGGTCCTGGTGGTGGTGAGTGGTGAGTGGTAAGGTACGTAGTAAGGTGAAGGGGATTGATACGTATGAGACGTCGATGAAAGGTAGGCATCTTAGATAGGTATACGGGATCGATCGTACCGACTGTTGTGTGTAGGTTAGGTATGCATTGTATTACATTATTATCCTGTTACCTTACTGCTGGCTCTACTACCGACTATCTCTCATGTGGTGGTCAACATGCGTGCGTCTACTTATTGTTTGACGGCTCATGCTTCTAGTTCAGTCTTGTTATCTCTGTATGCTACATGCTACATGCTACGATCGCCAATGTCACATCATCACGAAGATCCCAACTGTTGGTCTCGGGTGCTCACGTACGTAGGTAGGTATGTATGTATGTATGTACGCGGATCGTTGCGATCATCGAGATGTGCGGTGTCATAATAGGCACTTCGGAAATATTCGAGGGAATACATTTATGTGCGGGTGTAATGGAGAGACTACCCAAGACGTAGTTTTTGGTTGGTGGATAAGCGCTTATTATAAACGCCGTATTCGTACTTGAGAGAGGCGTATGTGCGTTGGCTCTGTAAGTCCTATGATCTATTTATTTCCTTACCGTCCGAGTAAGCTCCTGTTGGATAAACAAAGTGCATGTACCGGCCACGTTTGTCTGACGCGGGCTGATGAAATCTAATACCTACGTACGAAGTACAAGATTTGAGGAGGGCCAAGAAGAATGCGTGCTTCCGAAACAGGCAATCCTAGCTGGCGAATGGGGACAGCTTAGCGAATAGCGAATGTGACATGAGCTTGTGTAAGAGATAAAAAAGCTGCCGTAGAGGCTCCTTGATTGGATCGTTTAGGTTGCTGCACGATGACGATCTCTGCGTGCGCTTCGTGCGTCCCTTGCCCCATGGCGTGACGGCTAGCTACGAATGGCTGCGAGCCGCTCGTTATATTAGGTACGTAGTATTTTGTACCTGACTTTGGGGAACCGTGTCACCAACTTTGGAGGTAGCATCTATTCTATTACCCCCAAAACCAGTGTATGCGGTGAGAGTGTTGTGAGAATGTTGAAGAACTGCCAATGTTTTAATCCGTGGCTTGTTTAGTTCGTTGTGCCTTGTGCTATTAGCTTAGATCCAACGACTTGGCGGTGGGAGTAGGAGGCTGCAAAGTTTAGGTCTCGAAGTTGATAGTTGGCGAATTTCACACAGTTAGACCTTTATTATGTCAGATTCGATAATCCTTGGTTTATTTAAATATCTACCTCTTAAGGTTAAGAAGCTATGAAGGGAGGTTAACAATACTATTGGGCTATATTCGTGACCCCTAAGTTGATAGAGTATACTTCCTATAATAGTCTAATAAGTAGGGACGATATACTATTGTTGTAGTAGTTGTTAGTGCAGTGAAGAAAATGGAAGACTAGGACCAAATGTGGAGTATCATTTCCGCAGGGCAAGAATAGAGGAAGGGAGAAAAAGTTAGTCTAAATTTCCTTATCTTATTAAAAACAAGGTACATTGCGGACACTCCAATCGGCACTTCCCAAATTGCACCTTCGAATTTAACCCTTAACACCTTATCGCGTCAATTTAACTTGTGTACGGCATATGCAGGAAGGGAGAAAGCATGAAGCCTTCCCCTTAACAAATTCTAGGGTAAATTATTGAAAAGAATCAAGTTACGTGATGAGAAAAAAAAAAGAATGTATGCTTTTCAAGAAAACGAATATAAACAAAAATGGATAGCAGAAGAGAGATGTTAATTGATATGTAAATGTTTAATAATCATGTAATATTGAGCTCACCTCAACTTGCAGCAGCCACCCGTCCACGCTAAGTCGTCCATGCAACATTAGGTAGTAAATACATCATACATGTACTTAGCATGTATTCAATATAAACCCGAAACCCTCCTTGTACTTGAGTCGCTTGGTCGCACAGCAGATTTAAACAATTAGCCATGTCAAACTTGTCTTAATATATTCTCACCTACTGAAGAATATGGGCAGAACATGAGCAAAGCGTCTTACATGGAGAGAGTTTGGGGGCCATTACACTAAATTGACGATATTGCAAGAGGGATGCACGACCGGTGAATCTAGTGTATGTTAGGTACTTTAACTTTAACTCAACCCTGTATTAGAAACCTCTTAGACTGAAATTGGTCATTGGTCCCCCCACACTTCCCATGTACCTTATAGGCTATGGTAATGCAAAAGAATACATGAAGGATAGTAAGAACACCTTGTCGAAATATAACATTGATGTATGTAGTACCTACTGCCCCTAGTAATACATGTAAGTCCCCTATCGCTACAAGTGTCGGTAATCGTGACCCTGTCGCGCATCTTTCATCTTCTGAACCTTCAACTTTTTTTCCTAAAAAGGGGAGAGAGTGAAGTAGTGAAGGGGGTCCCCAATTTCAAGCATCCCACTTGATCTGCTTTGGTGTTGATCACCACGGCCAAGACATCGCGAGATTTGCGCTCCCCAGTCTCTTTTTCCCCTTCTATTCGCACATCCCTCGAGCCTGTTTTTCTCCTACGGGATTCACCCATCATTTGTCTACAATACCTTGTCACCAAATTTTATACTTCGCCTCGGACTTTTCTGAGTGCTGTCGTAATCTTCTTTATCCGACCGGTTATCTACTGTTACGTTAACCTCCTACGCTCATTTTTATTTTTATTCTTCATTGTTGCATTTTCGAACCTACTACGGTAGACCTTCAGACGAGACAGTCCATTCGGCAGACTATTAGTTGCAGTATTGAAATCCGATCCGCCGCGAACCGTAGATCAAATTCCTAGGCTAGGAATCTGATCTGTATACAAGCTTCAAGTCAAACAAGCGACTTATCGCAATTGACTTTCTACCTCGATTTTTAGCTAAACACCGATATTCGGCTTGATGAGATAATTTTAACGATCTCGCCATGTTCCTACCTCTCGATCTTGCATAAATCTTGCGATACCGACTTATCGCTCCCCGGTCCGTAAGCCGCGTCTATCCCTCCAATTAACTCGAAAACATGTTGGCGGTACAACCCCGTCGATTGTTGTCGCGACCGAAAGGTCTTCTGCTCGTCGCAATCTTTGCAGCAACTCTGTACTGGACCTTACTGCATGGGTCTACCACTCCTCATACGGCGAGATGGTTTGATGGGAGTTCTGGGCCAGTACAAGCTCCTCTAAAAGGCAACACTGAGATCAAGCCAGCTCCAGCTCCCTTACCAGCAACCGCCCCTAGTAACAACGAGCAAAATCAACATCCGCAAGCCGAAGTACATGATCAAAAGAACGGGGAGGACCAGGAGGAAGAAAAGCAAAAGGAAGAGGAGCAGAGAGAGGAAGACTTGCGGGAGCAGTTTGATCGAGAATATGAGGCGCTTGCTAAGTACGTTTGGCTGTTTATCACATTGCCGCACGTTCTAACGATAATACAGAGAGCCTGGTGCCGATACCGTGTTTGGCCAGACGCTTAATACTCTAGATGCTGACAAGAAACGATCTCTAACCATCGAGGACCACTTAGCACTGACTCAGAGCAAACCGAGATTTACCGAGCACTATCCTTACGTCTACAATCCATATCCTAAGTACAACGAAAAGACATGGCTCGCTGAAAGAGCCGAACTTGTACCTTGCGAAGGGCCAGGTGGTGCACCTGCAGGGGATGTATTTGTTTTCAAAGGTCAGCCCAAAAAGTTCCCTGAGCCCGGTTTCGGAAGCTACAGTACCCTTGGTATGGATGGGAATTTATGTTATGAGCGCGAGACACGGTTAGGTATTTACGGCTATAAGTCGGATAATGATCACTCAGTTACCTCGATCGACTGGGACGGTGTTCGCTGGGGACAACTGCAAGA